TTAAACCAATCCAATTGGGAAATGTGACAATGTTACAATTCACAGAATTTGAGGGATGTGAAAAATAGCACCTCTTCCTTTTCCGAGTACCCAGATCCCCTGCAAAATGAGGTGGATTGCAACTACATCATTGGGAATTGCATTAAAGTCTGAGAATAGAGGGTGCAGCTTATCAGAAAGTATTATCAGTATATTCCCTACACACCTCTGAGATGCATACTTCAATTGTGGCCGTTGAAAAATGTGTATATTGGCCATCGATTTGCCATTATTTACTTAGTTAAAAAACACGTTTTTAATTCCCACAACACATTTTTTCTGTCTGTTTTTGTTTTCTTGTCTCTGTGTTTGGTTTCTATTACACGTGACAGAGCTAGGTGCTGAGCAGCGTTGTGTATAAAACACCTTGTTTACTTAAAGGAGTTCAGTGGGTTTCTTGTGGGAGAGTGCGGTTCTGCATCACCTCTGCTCATGTACTTACTACCTCTCCTGGGAAATCGGCTGCATGCTTCTTAGAACAATAATTAGCGCCATGGGTTGTAATGCCGGCTCTTTGAAGACTCAACGAGAAAGTCAGCTTCAGCACTCTGTAAAGTTTGTTAGATTTTTTACAGTCTTGTCTTTCCTCATGTGATGTATCACTATGTCTGGTGATTCTATTTGGCTTTTTCTATGGAACTAGGGCTTCACAATTCATCTAAATTGTATCGGAAATCGCTATATGGATTGGTGCAAAATCCAAATCGCATTAAACCTAGTATATGGTTAAGGCAGAATTTGTGAAAATATCTTTCTTATTGAAGTGTTGTAGTGCTGCAGAGAATCACTATAATAGCCTACAAACAGCATTCTAAAAACGTAATACAGAATTTCTTGTTTGGTACTGTTCCTCTTAAAATATCAGAACATCATCTTAAAATATTTCTCCAACGGTAATGTGAACGTTTAAAAAATGATCATACCCTTTAGCCAACCGTGAAACATATCGCAATCACTCACAACAATCTTTTCCCTTTCCATTTGTTCCCAAATTGTGCAGCCCTAAATAAAATGCAATTTGCAAAAGCTATGATAAAAATAACCAATCCTCCCCACAACACGTATCTGAATGAGAATACAGATACATAGAAGCAGATAGGTCAAAAAGTAGTAAATGTAAACTGTAGATGTCAGTTTGTCACCCAGGTAAGGTTCCTGTGTCTTGGTTCCCAACTGCTGTGTCAGGAGGGTTAGCCCTGAGGTGAGCATCAAGTCCTCATCCCGGTCTGGAGGCTGAAGCGGGGAAGGGTTTCCAGCATGTTTACAGCAAGCATTGGACTCAAAGGGGGTCTATTATGCTTTTGGGGTTTTCCCTTTCCTGTAGTGTATTATATAGGTTTTTGTGCATTTAAGTGGTCTGCAAAGGCTAAAATACAGAACTCCCCTCCACAGTGAGTTTCTCTCCCACACACTCCCCCCCCCCTGCCTGAAATGCCTCCATTTGACTCTTTTGTTTACTTCCGTAACATAGTGACATCACTATGTAACAATGGCACTTCTATTGGCTCGCACCCCAACCAATTGTACATTATTTATTAAGAGGCAGGACATATCTGACACATCTTTAATCAGTTGACCAATCACAAAAGAGACGGCCGGCTCTATACAATAAAGAGCTTTTGGAACATTAAAGCATGGAGACATGTCACAGTAGAGGCACTAAATAATATTATGAAATTAGCATAATATTCCCACTTTACATTTCTCAAAACATGCAGTAATTGGTGTTGAGATTGTTTTAGTTTGTTGGATTTTCTGACTGCTCATACTGTAGATCAGTAGGACTGTGACATTTGTAATGCCCGTTTTCTTAGGCAAGGCCTGTAGTCATGTAGTTTGTTGTTCAGATTGTGTTCAAAATGTAAGTCATGATGAGTGTAAATTTTTTTTACAAAAGCTAGATTGAAATGTAAGTGCTGCCTACATTAAAGGGACTGTATCCAATGTTGTATTTTTTCATACTGTAGAATTACTTTTGTAATTGCCTTTTTTTTTTTTACAGTGAATCCTGTAGTAGAGAAGATAAGGAATTTGCAAAAGAAAGTTGCTAAACATCAAAACATTGATCTAAAATAACTGACAATAAGACTTTTTGGCCCTATGGTCCAGCAGACACAAGTATTGTCTTTCTCTCATCTACATTAAGTTGTAATTCCTGTCATGAGAGCTGCTTGTTGTTTCCCTGCATTCACTAGCCGGGCTGTATTGAATTTGTGCATGCTAATGCTGCGTTCACACCGGACGCGATGCGCTATTTGGGGGCAGCGCGATTACATGTAAAGTCAATGCAGAGACGCGGACAGACGCGAATTCGCTCCGACGGTGCGCATGAAGCGGTGGACGCGGCGCGAATCACACGATTGAGGCGATTGAACGGTGCCGCGTTAAACGCGAGAGTTCAATTTTTTCAACTCGAGCGTCAAATTCACGTGACGCGTTCTCGCGGAAGCCAATCAGCGGTGAGAATCTCAGCCGCCGTCACTGACGTTCAACCACACAACATCAGCCGTTAGCAGTTAGCAGTTAGCACACAGAGCTCACAGCTCCTCATATCTGTTCAGAAACTGGACAAAAGTTAAACAAGTACAAACCACAGACTGTCTGTGTCATGGCGAATACAGTCGCTGCTTTATTTATGTCTGTAGGCCGTTGTTATGAGTGTGGAATGAGCATATACAACGTTAGCTTAGCCTGGTCGATCCGATCTTCATTCAGAAAACAAGCATTTTAAAAGGTTTTTCGCCTGCCGTCTTGTCTGCAGACTTGTCAAAGCCTTAATTCATGGTTGTTACTAACCGGTATCAGTATGTTGTTACTTCGGCATCATTTAGAAACGTGTATTACAATTTAATCACGGTAAAATATGTTCATTTGTTGTAGTTGTAGCTCCCGAGCCAGCGCGTCTTGTTTGAACGCAGCATAAACACAGCTGGCAGCCGCGGTGAACCTCCAGCGTTTAGAGCGATGCGATAGGAGCGATTAGAGCGAAGCGAATAGTCGCATCGCGTCCGGTGTGAACGCAGCATAACACCAGCTTGTAACAGTAAATATGAAACACATCCAGCTGTCGCTGCGAGATGGCTGTCTGCTCTGCTGCTTTGTACCCTCTGTGGCTTTTTACAGGCTGCATTTGGCTATAGAAAGTTACAGCAGTGGAACACAGTGCAGAGGAGGACTGCAGCCACTCAAACACAGCGAGATGCTGCAGATGCAAATAGGTCAGCATAGTACAAAATGGGGAGAGTGGGAGGGCAGTGGGAAAGTGGTGAACTATTCTTTCTGCTCATATTTTTTTCGCTGCATTATGTTGTCAAGGAGGTTAGACTGAAATAAGACCAAAAGTAGGTGGAATGATAAACTACGCAACCACTCCTAACTTATTTAGAGTATTCATTCATTGGTTTAACCACTTCTTGTTGGCCTACCTGTCTCTCAAGTGGCCATGAATGATGCAGAAGGCATCCTGCGCTCTGTAAGATGCATTTGATGTAACCTTGATGCTCCTGATTCAAACCTTTGTCTTGTTTTATTACACTGCTTAGTTGAATACTCGATTCTAATTGGTCAATTCGGACATTTCAGAGGTTGGTGAGTAAGGGAAATTGTGCATCGATGCGGTCAGTATTAAAAAAAGAACACCAGACCAGGTGATCATGGAGCACAACGTGAAGCGGGGGGTTCTTGATCAGCCTGAAGGACTTCTCAACGGAATTCTTCGCTCTTAATACTTATTGATTCAGAACTACTTGGAACTCACACACATGTATATTGCTTGATATACAGAACATACGTTTCACTGTATAAGCACAGGTGTAGCTCAAACTGTGAATGAGAACAAAATGAAAGACAACATCTACCTCCAGATATTTTCTTCACAAAAGACAGTTTACAAACTAATTAAAAAGAAGCTTTGAAGATAGTCATTGAGTTGAATGATTTGGGCCGATGGGTTCTGTGTCCTTAGCTCCCCACACAGACTGTTTACCTGCATGCAAACAAAGGCTGCACATATGTATTTGGTCATTCCTGCTTGGAATGCATACCAAACCAGAAAACTGACACTCACTTTCACACAATATTTAACATTCACACGCAACCATATTGAAGAAGATGTTTCAGTGAGTAGCACCATGTCCGTGTGATCACAGTATTCTGGTATCTCTCTGCCCAAGGAATAGTGTAGGTGCTGAAATATGTAACAGGCGTTATCAGTGGCCTGTGAACGGACTTCTGAGAGGCGAAGGCTCCTCAACACTCTCCAGCAGCCAAGCGCCTGTCGCTGGTCTTAGCAGCCGGGGGGGGGGGGGGGGGGGGGGGGGGGGACTATGGGGCTGAGAGGGGGGAAGATGTCAGGAAGTCACGGAGAAGAAGGGTAGAAGGGTAGAATAACTCAGGCCACATTTAAAACTCCCCCCTTTTCACGTCTTTCTGCTTTCCTTCACACATTCTCTGTGTGCCAACTTCCCACTTTTCGCTCCATCCTGCTCTCTTTATCTTCTGCTCACACACAGTTGCTCTCTCTTACTCAATTGTGCTCACATTCCCATGCAGGGAAGCAGAGTTTGCACATTGCGGTTAAACTCCCACCACTCTTTCTCTCTTTGGTCTTCATCCCAGTTACCCTAAATATCCTTGGCTCTATTTTTACAATGCTCTCCTCTTTGCCCTCCCTTTATCCTAGTCATCACTTTTTCAATGTCCCTAGTCTCCTGTTGTCACTCTCTGAGGAAGCATGCTCATACACAGGCCTTGGCAGGGCACAGTTTGACTGGGCAAGGTTCTCTCTGGGCAAGGCTCCTCATCAGTACACATGAGTTCCACCAGTTTATTTTCTCATAGGGTTGACCTCTCTGCTGTGCATTGGAAAAATGTTCCCTACAGCACACTCTGCAGCAATACACACATAGACACACATAATACTGAATATGAACTGTTCTAACCCCTGTGTCTTGCTCTTCCAGCTCTGCACGAGTTCCCTACAGACCTGTTCACACACAAGGAGAGAACAGAGGGAGCTGTGGCCCTGCATGTGCTGTGTGTAAGTTCTCGTTCACCTATACAGCATTCATGTTGATGTGCGTTTGTGTCGTGCAAAGACCAAAACCAATATATCATTAACAAGTTATGTGTTTATCCAATGCCTGATGTATCATCCTCCTCTGTACCATAGAGCTCTTTTCTGTGCCTCCCCTCTCTGCTATGACTCTGACTCGCCCCTCTGACACTCTCCTCCCTTCTGACTCTCTTCTTCTCTGACTCTCTTCTCTGACTCTCTTCTGACTTTCTACCCTGACTCTTCTGACCTCTGACTCTCTGATTTTACTCTTCTCTCCTTGTGTCTGATTCTGCTCTCACACTCTTCTGACTTTGCTTTGATACCCTCACCTGACTCTTCTATCCCCTTCCTCTACTCTGACTCTCCTCTTGTCTGATTCTGCCCTCTATTCAGACTTTCTTCTGACTTTCTGCTCTGACTCTTAACTCTGACTCTCTCATAACACTTTACTCTGAATAGCCCCTGATTCTCCTCTTTTCTCCCCTCCTCTCCTGTTCATCACCTCCCGTCGGACTCTCTTCCTCCCTTTCCTTTCCCCCTCCCCCCAGCAGCCCTCTCCTCTGCCCATCCTCTCCCCTGGCAGTATTGCTTCAGTGCATGCATGACCACCCCCACTTGCCTCTCCAGCGTTGCCCAGCAGGGGTCAATATGCAAGGTCAAGGCTATGATGGAGCCCCTCTGCCATCACTCTTATATGACTGGCACATGGCAGGGAGAATGTTCTAGTACATGATGACCCATGTTGTGCTGAAAGTCTCTGGGGGGGTGACTGTAATGGAAGTTCAAACATCTCATGGGAACTTTGCTATGTATAAACACAGCAGTATACTACACAATGGACCATGGGGCAGAGTATATTTCTGACATTATAGGCAATGTCATTACTTGAAGTGCGCCCACCCTCAGAGTTAGCCATTTCTTCCTGCAGAAGGGCAAATGGAAAGAACCTTTTCCTGAATCTGTGGGTATTAAAGTAACACAAAGCCCAAACAAATCAGTATATCATCAAAAAACGATTTCCATGGTCTAACCTTTACAATGATGTACTCAATGTTATTTCACAGCAGGTGTTACTGTTCCTGGCTTTGTGGAGAGATGTATGTGCATTTCAGGACAGACAATCAGGGCTCATACCTGCACACTTTGTTTTATAGTTGTAATGCCTTACTTTTCCATCTTTGCGTTTTTGGAATAAGGGCCAGTCCTGGGAGAAAAGTTGACCCACTGTGACTGCATGTATTTTAACATGCAATATATCAACTGAAACTCCTGCTCTGACACTTTGAGTCCATGGGACTGTGCCCGATAGGCCCATTAAGTGATCCATCCACAGTGAAGGTATATTCTCAGCCTTGAGAAGGAAACAGTCTTTATTAGTAGTTACAATATACTGATAAAGATAGTTTTATTGCAGTATTTTAACTTTTTCCAGTCCAATAAATCATTACATGTAATAACCTAACATTACATTTTCTTTAGCTGATGCTTTTATCCATAACAACTTACTATAAGTGCATACAATCTTTAAGATTCAGGGTAAAAAAAAGTAAGAATCCTGCAAGTACATTTGCCTTCAATACAATTTAGATTCTTCAGTCCGTGTTGAAAGATGTGTAGACTTTCTGCTGTACTGTTCTGTGTCAGTGGGCAGCTCATTACACCATTTTGGTACCAGGAGAGCAAACAGGCATGTTTTTGATGAGGGGTATCTGGGTCCTTCTCGCAGTGAGGGAGTAGCGAGCTGATTGGTGGATGCACAGCGAAGTGCTAGAGCGTATGGTTTAACCATGTTCTGGATGAAGGATGGGCCTGATCCATTGAAAGCTTGGTAGGCCACTACCAGTGTCTTGAAGCAGATTTGGGGCAGCCAGTAAAGGGAGCAGAGGAGCAGTGGGTAAACTTAGTCGGAGGAAAAGCCAGTCTTGGTCCGGCACTTGAGTGGCACTTGCAGGTAGAACAGCCAGTGGAGAGAATTGTAATAGTCAAAGCGTGAAATTACAAGAACCTGGACCTGAATCTGCAATGCCCTCTTGGTAAAAGGGGATGTATCCTCATGATGTAGTAAAGGATGTATCTGTAGCAGCAATGTTAGCACCGAAGGACAGTTGGTCGTCCAGTGTCACATCCAGGTTCTTGCAGTCTGAGTTGGTTAGGTAGTTAGGTCATGGATGGGAGAGCCCTTACCTGGAAGGTAAAGCAGTTCTGTCTTATCAAGGTTTAGGGTTTAGATTATCCAGACAAGGAACACTTGGTTTTAAGATCGGGGAAGAGACAGAATCAGTTAAGTATGATCTGCGTAGCTGTGGTAGGGGATGCTTGAGAGGGAATGACAGAGTAAATAAGTGTACAAAGAGAAAAGAAGGGGACCCATGACATACCCCTGAGGGACCCCAGTGAGGAGTTGCTAAGACAATCAAAACTTCAGACGATAGATATGGTGTGAATCATTCTTATAGCATAACATTAGTCAGACAACAGATTAAATCTCACCTTAAAGTGGACCTATCATGCTATATTTGAACAATATATTGTAGGGCCATACATATATAAAGTATATAAATATAGTTTTTTTTTCAAAATACCAAACAGATCATGCATTTTAGCCATGCCTCATTTCGCTCTATTTGCTCTTTCCAGCCCTGTTTTTGCAGGGGGCTGATTCTGTGAGCTGCAGCTGACCACGCCCCCCTGCAGGAGAGGGGAGCGTGCTTTGAGATCAGCTGCTGGGCTGTCAGAAGAGGGGGAGAAAAAGAGATCTCCGTCCTCCGTGTTTTATTCTTATATGATTATATAGAGTCATTATTCATTTGATTTAAAGCTCAATAAATAACAAAGAAGACCTTTGACCGGCACTTTTCTAATTTTGTCGGGAAGATTTAAACTTTAACGGACATGTTGACCGACGAAAAAAAATCTAACTTGAACTCTGCCGCACGGTCCCCTCGTTCCTTGGAAGAGGCGGAGAGGTGGGTGTTTGTCATCTGCTGGTGGACTAACCGGAGAGAATTACAGTGCTTGCCTCGACGGGGAGGGATTGCATTGAATTAAAGCAGCGGGAGCAAACGCTTGCCTCGGGGAGGGAGAAAAAAAGCCACAGCGGAGAATAAACAGAAGGGTAACCATGGCAACCATGCGCGGGAAGTCTTCTTCGCTGCTTTTGTGGCACACTACAGCGCCACTTACAGGCCTGGCATATGTACTACAGCGTCTCCAGCGCTTTCGAGCGACAATGGCCGGCCGCGGCCCAACCCCACATTCCCCTGATAGGTGGAGAGTTGGCCATATAGGCGGAGCTCCTCGTTCCTGACGTCAGAGAATTTTCAAATCTGTATCAGTCTGTATTAGATCCATTGCAGCCCCGTTTTTAGAGATTTGGGTATGGAGGAAAAGAGAGAGGGTTGTGTTTTCTGACACTTGGTGAGTTCTCTGACACACTGGGGACACATATTCATGTATAAAAGACGTACAAAAGTGCATTTTGAATGATAGGTCCCCTTTAAGATGTTTGACTTTGGAACTCGTAGCACTTGTTACTCGCAAATCAATGCCTTTTTTTCTACCTCTGCTTTCTACTGAGCAGGTAGAATACATCCCCCTGAGACCCAGTAATTTGTATTTTTCCTCTGTGGGGGACATGACACCCTTATTTCAAACACCACGCATGCAGTTTGTGTTTGTCCTAATATACTGTGAAAAACATCCTAGGCTTTCTAGTGATGTAATACACATGGGGATATGACCAACAGAGCACATCTTCTGTCTCTCCAGATGAGGGTAATTGCAGCAAACACGTTTATGTCAGTAAGGGAGATAAGGGAGATCACATTTTTAAAGACATAATGTTTCTGGTCTTCATAAGGGGACCTATATGTATACAATAACAAAGTGTATACATAAAATAAACATAGAACCTACGTATACACATCAGGACTACTACAGATTTTATGTTTTTTGTTTTGTCTGACCGGGACTTGAACCGGCGACCCTTCAGTTTTCAAGTCCCTACAGACTGAGCAAGGATTCTGCATATCACCCGTCCTAGTATTAGGCGCAGTGGGCAGGTATTGTGTACAGCGCCCAGGAAACAGTGTGGGGGTGGACTGTCTTGCTCGGCAGTATTTTTCCGTGACTCATGGAGCTACTACCTTCCTTTAGCCACAAGTCACAAATGCTGTGAACTTATTCCAGTCATTGATCATGTTTTTCTGGTGTTGGATTCAGATTAAAGACAGCAAAGTTTGAAACGCTTAGTGTTCGAGCTGAATTTTTATATCAGAGTATTTGACTTCCAGCTGCTGTTCCCTTGACAGCTGTACTGCTGCTGACCCCCTCCGACTCTGCACAGCTCATTAATGCTGCCATCATCCCTTCTCAGAAAAGACTTGCTCTCAGAAACACAACTCCCATATTAAGGACTTTCATGTCCGCATGCAACATAAAACATGTACACACATGTACATTTAGTATGCACACATTTTATTTGAGTAAGTTTGAGGTAGGGATTGAAAGTAAAATGTGACTCAGTACTGCAGAAACAGTCAACAAAAAGGATTATTCACTCTTTTGCTGTTAAAGGGATATTGATGCGTTCCTTTGTTCACACATTCTTCGTCAGTCTGTCGTCACTACCTGACACTTTCTCTCTTGATCATACCTACTGTCTTTTATCTGCAATCTGTCTCCTTCTCTCCCTGCTGTGGGTTTTATCTATGATATGATGCCAAGGAAAGGTTGTAGCTTTTTTTTGCAGAAATACACCAGGGAAATAAACAAACCAGTTAAATACAGCAGTGACAACCTTTTATCCAGTTATAATAAACCAAAACATTTTATTTTGGAGGATTGTTTATTAAAGGTGACTTCATGTCCCGCAGTGGTCAGTGCTAGCTTATTGCCTTTGTACACATATGATAACATATTTCTTCTAAAACAACAATATTTAATGTATTGCCGGTGTTATTCAGGTGTGGTAGTAAGAGTAACCTCTAAGGAGTTGGTTTTTAATTCATTGTGTTCAATAAGGCAGGACAATAGGGACACAGCTGAGAGTTAGCTCATCAGCTGTGTGTGTGTGTGTGTGTGTGTGTGTGTGTGTGTGTGTGTGTGTGTGTGTGTGTGTGTGTGTGTGTGTGTGTGTGTGTGTGTGTGTGTGTGTGTGTGTGTGTGTGTGTGTGTGTGTGACGTGTGGGGACTCACCTCCCTTATGGGGACAAAATGGAGGTCCCCATGTGGGGAATCATTAATTTTAGGGTGAAGACTTGGTTAGGTTTAGGGTTAGGGTAAGGTTAAGGGTAAGGGTTAGGGTTAGGCATGTGTTGGTTATGGTTAAGGTTAGGATAAGTCTCCAGGAAATGCATGTAAGTCAATGTAATGTCCCCTGAAGTGGTGTGTGTGTGTGTGTGTGTGTGTGTGTGTGTGTGTGTGTGTGTGTGTGTGTGTGTGTGTGTGTGTGTGTGTGTGTGTGTGTGTGTGTGTGTGTGTGTGTGTGTGTGTCTCCTGGGCTTCTGTACTGCCAGCATGTTTAAAAATTGAAAACTAACTTCCCTATTTAGAAATGTAAATAGTGTGCTCCCTCAGTGTTATTCATGAATATTTGATGTTGGATCTGATTAAGGGTTATCCCATGCCACTGCATTGGCATGGGATCTTTGAATCCTTAGCTTTCATTACTCGACTCCCCTTTTCATTTGTCATGGTAATCTATATCTAATCTTAATGAAGCAGTTAAAGCAGAGCTGTATTCTATACTTGGACATTCAGGGTACATGCAGAGGTCTGTTATAAATAGCATAACAAGCAGGAGATTAGCAGGGAAAGTGGTAAACAACACCACTTGTTCTTGAAAAAATATCAAAGAATGAACCACAGCGTGCTGTACTTGATGACCCCTCTTAGCGTGGACTTTTCACCCTATTGGATCCTATGTTTAAATCACATCAAGCAGCATGTTCTTCCTTTACTGCTCCCTGTAATATGTATCTCCTCTCTCTTTACAGACCATCTACATGTTCTGCGCTCTCGCCCTCGTCTGTGATGATTACTTCGTCCCCTCCCTGGAGAAGTTGTGTGAGGTATGAATGTCAAAAATTACATTTAAAAGGCTGAGCAGCTTCTTGAGCCGTATCTGGCCGTGCAACACTCACAGTGTCACATACTGTATGCAGAAGTATTATTTTAAGCAACACATTAAGTTGACGAAACACTCGAGTCAAATGTAATTAAAGTCAGATCCACTCGTGTCTTAGACGGGGCAGTGATATCATAAACCTGTTAATGAACGTATTCAAACACTTTTTCTTTTACCAGCTGTATTCACCTTGCAGGTGCAGCTATGTGGCTTTGATCCTGGATAAAGTGTTTAAGTCATGGATGTTTAAAGTTTAACTTCTTCATATTTGTCTAATATTAGTTGACTTTTCATTCAGGAAATATATGACGCGCTGCGCTGTCAGTACACGGCTTGTCCATGTTTGTGATTGGTCGAACACTCCAAATACCACCCCTTTCATGTGAACGCGCACCTAACTAGATAGGACACGGCTGGCTTGAGCGATCGAGTTGATAGCCAGCGTCGTAGGACCGTTTAGCGAGAGCGTTTTTTTTTTGGATTTAGTCAACCGGATAACTCAAAACATATCCAGGATATGTTGAACTAGATTTGTAGTATACCCCCCAGGTTAGGTTCCAGGATATAGATCAACTCAGTGAAAGCACCGCCTGCTGACCAATCAGAGCTCAGTGTGCGGAGTTTAAAGCGATCAAGTCATATTACAGGATAAAGGAAATACAGAAAAACTGCCGTTGCAGGAAAGACGGCCGGCAAAAATCAACTGACTGTGTGAACGTGAAAATGAATAGAATATCACCTCCCATCTTCAGAGCAATCTGACTATTATAACATTAGCGTTAAGAAAGCTTACTTAAATATCTGCCACAACATAAGTAACCGGATCAGAGTAACATTACGTACAGTCCGCGGCACTGTGAGTGCAGACGTCGATGTGTCCCATTATCATTCATATCATATCACATCATAATGTATCATATATTTCCTTATCTGAGTCAGCTTCTTGAGCCGTATCTGGCCGTGCAACACTTGCAGTGACACATACTGTATGCAGAAGTATTATTTTAAGCAACACATTAAGTTGACGAAACACTCGAGTCAAATGTAATTAAAGTCAGATCGTGTCTTAGACGGGGCAGTGATTTCATAAACCTGTTAATGTACGCATTCAAACACTTTTTCTGTTACCAGCTGTATTCACCTTGCAGGTGCAGCTATGTGGCTTTGATCCTGGATAAAGTGTTTAAGTCATGGATGTTTAAAGTTGAACTTCTTCATATTTGTCTAATATTATAGTTCACTTTTCATTCAGGAAGTATGACGCTGCGCCGTCAGTACGCTTCTCCATGTTTGTGATTGGTCAAATGTTGCTAACCCCGCCCGTTTTATGTGAACGCGCACCTAACTAGATAGGGCACGGCTGGCTTGAGTTAACGAGTTGATAACCAGCGTCGTAGGACCGCTTAGCGAGAGCGCGTTTGTTTTGGATTAGGTAAGCCGGGTAACTCAAACATATCCAGGTTATGTTGAACCGGCTTCTTCGTACAGGCCTCTGATGTTTAGCAGTCTTATTGCCTGTGTTATGAAACTGTCCCTGAGTCTGGTGGTTATAGACCTGATGCTGTGGTAACGCCTGCCAGACGGCAGCAGACAGAACAGTTTGTGGCTGGGGTGATGATCCTCTCTATGGTGCACCTGTAGAAGGTCAGGATGCTCTCTATGGTGCACCTGTAGAAGGTCAGGATACTCTCTATGGTGCACCTAGAAGGTCAGGATGCTCTCTATGGTGCACCTGTAGAAGGTCAGGATGCTCTCTATGGTGCACCTGTAGAAGGTCAGGATGCTCTCTATGGTGCACCTGTAGAAGGTCAGGATACTCTCTATGGTGCACCTAGAAGGTCAGGATGCTCTCTATGGTGCACCTGTAGAAGGTCAGGATGCTCTCTATGGTGCACCTGTAGAAGGTCAGGATGCTCTCTATGGTGCACCTGTAGAAGGTCAGGATCAGGATGCTCTCTATGGTGCACCTGTAGAAGGTCAGGATGCTCTCTATGGTGCACCTGTAGAAGGTCAGGATGCTCTCTATGGTGCACCTGTAGAAGGTCAGGATGCTCTCTATGGTGCACCTGTAGAAGGTCAGGATGCTCTCTATGGTGCACCTGTAGAAGGTCAGGATCCTCTCTATGGTGCACCTGTAGAAGGTCAGGATCCTCTCTATGGTGCACCTGTAGAAGGTCAGGATGCTCTCTATGGTGCACCTGTAGAAGTTTGCAGTGTGTTTAGGCAGTCAGCAAGCTTTAGGGTATTACTGGATAGGGCTCAGGCTCTTCCTGATCTACTGTTTTTATCTTGGACCGTTCTGGAATTTTAAATCGCAGCTGGTATTTCCTGTTCAAATATGATGGTTTTGTTTGTCTCTTGGTCCTCCCTGCAGCGCCTCCAGCTCAGTGAAGATGTAGCAGGAGCCACCTTCATGGCCGCCGGCAGCTCGGCTCCGGAGCTCTTCACATCCATCATAGGTATCATCTCCTTACCTCCTCTGTCCTTATTGTAATACATGCCACAATACTGAAGCTGCTTTAGGAAGGTAGCATGCATGCCTTTTAATAATTAGCCATGCTTTCATCTCAAGGTCCGTGCAGTAAACAAACATGGCTCCCACTGAATCACATCACATGTATTGTACTAAGAACTAAATGCTTGGCAAGTTCTCTGGGTTTTTGTCTCCAATTCAATGTCTGTCTGAACTTGAAAGGCTGGAGGACAACATAGGCAGCATCACACCACTCATTAATTTCCCTTTATTTAAGTGGGTTAACAGTTTTTTAATTAAATAGACTAGATTTCAGGTGACTTTTTTCAACTTGAAAATCGAAGTAAACAATTAATAAACATAATTATCATTAATAACATTTCAAATAATCTTCAATTTATTTAAGAGATCATAAACTTTGTCCACATTAACTATTAAATGCATTCATTTAATTTATACTGATATTATAACCATCAAGAAACCTTTGTTAAATAGATGATTAAATGCACTAATTGAACTCATCATTATAGCTCCCATAACCCAAGCATAACTGTTAAATATACTTTAAACATGAAAACACTATACAAACAAATCAAGCATGCAGCACCATCAATACAAGGCAATGCTCTACTATACTATATGTATTCATCTCTGGCACTGAAAAATAAATACATTTAAACCAAGGAAAAGTCTTTCCCATTTGGAATGAATTAAAGGGCCCATGTCATGGCCATTTCCACTGATCATAATTCCATTGTTGAGGTCTACTAAAATAAATGTGTATTGTGCAATTTTCCAAACTCACATTGGTTTCTCATACAGCATCTCTGTATAGTATGTGTATTCACTCTCTGTCCTAAACGGCTTGTTGGAGCTCCTGCCCCCCCCCTCCCTGTGAGCCCAGTGGCCGTCTGCGAGACAGCGAGACACAGCGAAACCCAGCCCGAAACACGCACACACACGCAGCCTGGCTGGGAGTTTGTCTGTGTGCTCAGGCTGAGTACTTTGAGGGTTTGTGACTCTGCAGAACGTTTACATGCATAAAAACCTTCATAACACACAAGGGGACGGGCAATAACCGGAAAAGCATGACATGGACCTTTAATGAAAAAAAACTAAAAATCAAAAAATAATAACTGATAATAATGAAACATTACATATTTTACAACATATTCACAACGATATGAAGAACTTCCACTTCTAGAAAGGCATTCCTTTAGTATATTATATTAGAGATAAACCAAATGTAACGTACTGCCTGCACTTTGTATAATTTGATTGTGCTTAGGTTTGTTTGTGTGTGAGTGTGAGAGAGGTACATGACTGACTCGGCAGAGTATCTAGTCATTTCACTTGTGTTGACAGTTGTGTGATATCTGTGTGCTGCGACTTGAAATGTCAGCTAGTGTACAACACGTCTGTGTCTCTGTGGGGTCATAATGCTGCGTGTGTGTTTCCTTCTCTCCCCAGGGGTGTTCATCACCAAAGGTGACGTGGGTGTGGGGACCATCGTGGGCTCGGCCGTCTTCAACATCCTCTGCATCATCGGTGTGTGCGGCTTCTTCGCCGGACAGGTATGATGTCATCAGAGCGCTGCTGACCTGCTGCCATTTACCAGAGTGAACCCCACAGCCTAATGTCACCTTTAAGGGTGTGTTCAGCCACATTAACGCCCAGTGGCAGAGAGTACTCATGCATACATGCATATATACTCAGAGAAAGATGCAGCACAAACAAACATACCGGCAGTCTTTAGCATCCATTGGTTCCTTAGAGCATGCGCACTTTTGTTTTCCTTTAGCCCCGCCTCCAATCCACTGTGTAACGGCAGCATCACGTCCGGTCTCCACTTAGTTAAATGAATGGAGAGGAATAATAACTGGATTTAGCTTTTAGCACATTTACTGCGTTGTTAATTTTGTAGAAAATAAATGATCTGCTGATTTAGAGGATGTCCCTTTCCCAATGTAAGTCAATGGGAATAAAGTATTTTGGGCCCGACGTCAGGGATGTCATGGGGCCATTGTTTTTGTCAGAATCGTTTGCTTTTTGTTATAATACTTTTTAAGGCAACAAGAGACAGCAATTCAACGTTCCTTTATGTTCTAAAGAAATGCTTGTCACATTACCAAACTTGCTGTGACACAATACATGTAGCTAAAGGTCTAGTTCACCTAGGCCTTACAAAACACTAGCTTGGCCATAACTCAGGTGTTCTTATGCTGATTTTAACAATTTCATACAGTCTAACAGAATAAAATGATGATGAAGTGATGACATTTTGAAAGACATGAACGTAAACTGCAATTTCACTGTTTTGCACATACACATACAACTGCAAGGCGGTAATTCTAGCCTTGTTGTTTCACCAGTTCCTTAGTCATATACACACGAGAGAAAACTATTTCGATCACACTTAGAAAGAATGTTTTGTTTTCACTTGCCTCTAAGGGCTTGCCTACAGATGTAACCTTTGCTGTCACAACATCTTTTCATCATTTCATCTCTCACCGAGTAGTCAGGTATCTCTAACCTTTCATGTGACTTTCTTCTCCAAAAATAACAAAGTTCAGTGTTCAAACGTTTCATGCCACAGTCCTGAATACACATTGAAAACGTATCACTGATTTCTTCTTTTATCATCCTCTTATGCTCGATGTGCTAAACAAGCCTTAAGTACAACGTCCCAACACCATACAGTTTGTATCTCTGTGCTGCAACACACTGCAACACAAAAGGGACTTCTAAGCGTGCCTAAGTTCAAAATAAATTGTACTTGTTTCGTTCTAAAAATATAGAAACACAAGCACATCACTGGAACATGGCTGCACTGACGGCTAGGTCTAATGAAAGATGCATCTGTATAAACGAAATAAACCAACAATTAACGACACTTTATAGTCCTTAGTTGAATCATTAGGGTGTAAAAGTTTAAAATGCACTAAAAGCCGAATCCAGATCAGATCAGAAGTGATTGGCTTAAACAAAACGCATGTGCACACGCTCTCTGGGCCCAGATACAAGTTATTTTGTTTGCAGTAGATAATTACAAGTTAAGTAAATACAACAAGGTTGCTTATACAAGTGGTTATACCAAAAAATACAATGTCATGCCCATTACCAATCCAGTGTTAATAGACCCAACATAACTGCGGCTCCCAGACATGCCTCCTCACTGCTGTGTGTTGCATGAGATGCAGAAACAACATAATGTAGCGCAGCCTCCCTCTGATCATATCCGACATGCTGGGACATATTATGGAAATGAAATGAGCGGAGTACAAGGATAAGCTCTCTGCTCTGAAAGTTATATGCACTGGACCTCAAACAGTGATGCAATCCCAGGTTGTGCATTACGTAATCAAAGTGATATAATGAGGGAGGAGGGCAGTCAAATCATCTTCAGTACGCCCGCTCCACCTCAGAACTGTTTGTTACTGTTGGCGGGATGTTCAGAGCGGGCTCCATCTACAATATTAGAGTGAAAGAGAGTACAAGCAAACATTGTAAAGCTTTGTTATGCTTTAACTTATCCTCGCAGCAGCAAACAATTCCACAGCTGGGAGGGGCACATGCAAGATGGGACTTCTAGGCAGGGTTGGGGGGGTTACTTTAAAATGTATTCTGTTTGTAGTCCAATGACTAGTTACCTGTAAAAATAAATAAATGTAATCACTAACCTAATCTGAGTATCAAAATATGAATGTAATGTAACCAGATTACTTTACGTTTTGATTACCTCAATATCAGACAATGCAAATACATAAAAGAGAAAAGGAATGTCAATAACATGTTTTTTTACTTCAATGTATTATGTAAGACAAAAGATCAATGTGCCCTTAGAAAATAAGAAACCAAGATATTTCATATCAACTATGATTTAACTTATAGGAAAAGCTGCCTTTCTATCCAGGCAGCAGCTTGACACTGAAACACAAGAGCACATACTACAGTTTATAAAAGCAGAAATAAAATCTAAGTTTACAGAAAAATGCGCCGTTTTAGTTTGATACACACAGTTAAGCTCACACACACTATTTTATGAACATATAGGTTCACCTACAGTATTAGCCTACAGAACAGTACAGCTAACAGAGAAGAGATAACATCTGATCCAACAAACCTCTTTTTAGGTTTTTAGTGACTGTAACCCTGCTAGTTATCCCCAATTCCAGAAGTGTAACAGTAATCTGATTTTTTGTATAGGAAGGCGTGTGGCGCAGTGGGTTAATGCGCTGATCTTCAAATCAGAAGATAGCAAGTTCGAGTCCCACTGCAGTCTGCATGTCGTTGTGTCCCTGGGCAAGACACTTCACCCCAAATTGCTCCTGTGGGGATTGCCCACAGTATTGAGTATGTAACATGTAACATGTAATGTATAACTGTAAGGGAATACACGTTCCTTTTATTGTATCCTGATCACGTGATCCCCAAGCCCCCCCCACAGTATGAGTGTGTGAGGGGGAGTGATCCAGCGTTAGTTAGTCACTGCACTGTGGGCTCCTGCCTTGTGTCTGATTACATAAACACATCGGCACCTTTCGTTTGACTTTTTCAATAATTGTGAGTCAGGAGGTCAGCTCCCGTGTTTACCTCAGTATGGTAATGATGTCAGAGGCGGTTCTGTATCACCGTGCTGCGGTATCATCCGCGAGGATGAGTGTTATTATAAGACTACGACTTGCGTACTTATCGGTGTCCTTATCTCCGCTTTCCCTTTTTTCCCTTGCAGGCAGTGAAGCTCTCTCACTGGGCTCTACTCCGAGATTCAACTTATTACACATTTTCCATCACGGCCCTCATTGTGGTAAGAGGGTTTATTCATATGATCAAGTGTGTGGTTAGAGCAGAAAGACTCACTATGAGGCCAGTTTGAAAGTGCAGTTCCCAGCTTTGAAACCAACACTCAATATGCACTTCATATTTATTACAAAGCCAATAAAACATACTGTTCGTCCACTGTTAATGTGGATTCTTAAATGTGCATTGGTTCCATGAAATATGTAGTGTGTCATCATGAAAGGCTGAAGCTGTGTGCCAAATTCATCAAATAACTCTCAGCAGGTTAAATATGCTGTTACCTTCACAAGGGGCAAAGTGATCTACCGACAACACACAACAAAAGAAACAAACACCAAGTATATTAACTAAATCATCAAACTAAAGTACAGTTTTGCTGCAGTTTTGATGACGATAAATAAAGGGTTCCCGATTATTTTATTTTATTAATTGTTTTCAGATGTTTATATTTTAGAATTGTTTATTTCTACTCTTTTCATTTCTACCTATGTGCAATGCCGTGCTCAAAATTGTCTTCACTAAAACAGTCAAATGTCATATGAATGCTTGTATAATAACAATCCAATGTAATACAGTGAACAAAACACTGCATTGAATTTTGCCAATAATTAATTTCACATTTGATACTTTATCGTTATTTTACTGTGATTTTTACATTTTAAACAGAAATGTGTTGAGTAATAAATGAGTATTTTTACATATTTGTATCAATAATTTTCGTAAAGATAAGGATGGACTTTTTTGTATCACTAATATAGGCTCCACTTACAACTGCAAATAAATGTTTGGAGAAAGAAGTACTCTCTTAAGACTATATCTCTTTTTGCATCTCTATCTCTCATCTCTTATCTCCACCATTGGACAGGTTGTTACAGCCTGAGCCATGACTTTATCTGTTCACTGTCTAGTACAGCGGTGTCAAACTCCAATTCTTCACGGGCCACATTAGCATTATGGTTGCACTCAAAGGGCCGGTTGTAACTATATAAATATATAATATATACAAAATAATGTATTATATTACATTATTGCCTCTGAATTGGATTATTATCGGATAGGATAATAACTTAGTAATTAACTACGTCTGAAAGCAGAAGTCCAGGGCAAATAATTCTCTCTTCAGTGCGCATGTCACAGTGCGCGATGCATTGTGGGACATGTCGTTTATGGGCAACCTGCTTCTGTAAAGTGGCATGTAACCGTATAATAACGTATTATATTCTTTGCAAGCTCTTGCGGGCCACATCAAATGAAGTCGCGGGCCGGATTTGGCCCCCGGGCCTTGAGTTTGACACCCCTGGTCTAGTAGTTAAGTAGTAAGATAATGAAGCAAATGTCATGCTTTGACCTTTTTCTGTCAGTCTGAGCTCTGGATTGGTCATGCCCTCTAGTGGAGTAGATGTTGAGAAGCAGAATCAATCTCACTTTCAAATACTGCATCCACCTAATGTTCTTTTGTGTCCTCTTTGTCCCGCCTTTTTAGTTCATATACGACGAGGAGGTTTGCTGGTGAGTAATATGCTCTCTCTTTCTCTTTTTATGACCGTATACTTTTGACTGACCTTGTGTTTGTGTGCAGGTGGGAGTCTCTTATCCTGATTCTCATGTATGCAATCTACATCCTCATCATGAAGTGAGTGTCATCATCAGTATACGATCATTCTTGTTGCATTGAGTTGAAAAAGTTGTGGCCCCCTTCTTAATTCATTTGTCATTGGCAGGTTTAACGGCAGGGCGCATCGCTACTTCGACCGGCGAAAGAAAGGTTCTGTGAATCTGTCCAATGGGCTGACAGGAAGCACTGATCTGGAGGATAATGTCACGTGTGACGCGACTGCAGTCCTGCTCAAGAAAGGTAGAACATTGTGCTCCATTTTATACTAGCTTTGCCCTCTAAAGAGTGCATAGCTGCTCATCTCTGCGCACTGAAATGTACATAAAGGCAGCTAGGGCACCACTCACATCTATTTTTGTTCAGCTCCAGGATAAGACAGTCAAGGATAAATGTATGGACAAAGTTCTGTCTCTTTTGTCCTGGGATGACTTCCAGAATAGAGCCTCAGTGCTATAGCTGCATTATGTTGTGTTTTTTGGGTTATGAACTTAGTGCGATAATGCCTGTTTAGCAAAGATCAAGTTCCCCTTACATAATGAAGCCCACTGCTGACCTCCTGGATGTCCAACCATCTGCTTGTGGACTAACATTCTGGCATGTTGGTCATCAACGATTGCATTTTTTTGGGAGCCAGAATTGACACAAGAGCGCAGAGTAAATCACAAGAAAACGCTGTACAAGACATATCTAGGCGACCTAAATATAACAACTTCCATGAAGTTGGTCAAAGTTGTGAGCATACGCCTCTTATAATCCATTTGACCTTGAATAGGACCATACATTACTAAAATGAACATCATTTTGTACGTAAGAACACTTGAAACTGCAAGTAAAGACCATAAACGGAAGTAGGGTCATTTTCTCTTACACTTCTATACAATCTGCCTCCTTCTTCAACCACGTGTAGTCACACCTGTTGATTGTTACAAAATGAACATTAAAGACCGTTCTGCATTGGCTTCTCTTCTCAGGCATGGAGTAGGCCGCATGGTCACTCCCAAAATGTCTGGATTATGCAGAATGAACTTGAATACAATGAACGCCTTCCGCTCAGCAACACCACAGCACTCCTCTTCTTATAAGTGTGGTGGTATCTGGTTCTGATAAGTAGACCATTTTCTGTCTCTCTGCCCTTAAAGGTAAAGTATAGTGTGGGACACAACAACAGCTAAAGAGAGCGGCACAAGATGCTGGGTAAGGCCTGTGTTCATCCTCCCAGCCTCCAACCAGCTTCAGCCCAGCCTGCTCTGTCAGCTTGTTCTGCATGTGATTCTCAGAGTGATGCCCCGAGAGAACATGGGTGGCGGTTGTTTGAGCAGATGGTGGCCAGGGCCGATGTGTTCAAGTGGGCTGCATCAAAATCATAGACTGTGGAAGAAGACGTAGCCATGACCATTGGTTTGTGGCTGTTGCTATCTTGTTATTTTCATAAACACAAGTGACACAACAGGGAGGATCTTAGTTCAACCAACCCTAAAGCTGCATACATGATACACGATGTGGCTCTGTGCTCACCGCGAGTTTGGGTGCAGAGCCATTTGGTGAAAACTGTTATCTGTTATCTGATACAGTAGGTGGCACGTTGAAAGGCCAACATCATCAAGGTCAAAGTTAAAGTAATACATTAATACAATTCACTTTCATGAACCAAAATCATTTCGCAAAAGGGTTAAAGTTATAAGATGAAAACATGGACAACACCGTGAAAGCCATCTGTCAGTCACAAGGTAGCCCCGCCCTAAAGCATACCCAGCTTGTCTCTTCTACTCTTAATTGGACCACATTTTACAAAAAAGCCCTTATTCTGTATTGAAAAGGACTCGAAGAGACTGGCAAATAAGATCACCAATCCATGAGAAAAATGTTAACCAACGTAATAAATCAATCTAGGCACATTTTGTCATAGACCTCTGTACAATTGGACTTATTTCTTCAACTGGTTCAGTCCACACTTTAGGCCATTAGAAAAAATGCGGTTCACGCCAGTGTCACTGTGCCTTCTCTGATTAGACCCAGATTTGGGCCCATGGTCAAGAACTCTACAGTAGCCAGCAGAGACCCTAGGTGGGGGGGGTTAAAAGGACTTCGGAGGGTATGTTCAAGGTTTCAAATTGATGTAAAGCCTTGGAGGGAAATTAATATATGAACCAATTATGGCTGATATTGTGAATGTTGACAGGTTGAAGGTTGACAGTGCGTAGATGAGTTTTTAATAAGCCAAAGAAAGGACATAAGGGACAGCGAAATGAGCTGTCGACCAATGTGTACTCAGCGTATGGATCTCACAGTGCCGCAGTCTGCCGAGGCCTATAGAACCAGACCTCTCATATTCCAGGTCCGTTAAAAAAGGCTGGGATCACATCCAAATGTGTTCTGACATTGCAAGCTTGTTGAAGAAAGTGAAAATGAGGCACAGTACCTTTCTACTTTTTTGCTTACTCAAGACTATCTTATGCCCGGGATGGCTTTTGCTTGAGGAAATAACTTTCAGTGACACTTTCTCTTGCAACATAGAGAGATAGCTCATTAGCTGCAGCACATCCAGCAGCCTGAAAATGTACCTGCATGTTTAGTCAGTTTAGATGCTAATTAGCCTGTTAGCTAGAGTCAGCAGCACAGTCTGACTCAGCTGACAATCAAACCAGTACCACCCACAAAGAGGCTTTTGGAGAGCAGAGGCGGAAAAACACTTTTCTCTCTTTCTTTTTTCCATTCTTTCAATAATAAGACAATGTTAGCAATACATAAAAAACACCTTTTTTCCCCTTAAACATTATGTTTCTTGTTTTTTAATACAAACAAACATCCTAAGAATCACTTTCACATGATTTTTGACTGATGACTAATTGTGCTTTCAGTTGGATTAAGAAGCAAACAACCAGCACTACAGTCAGCTCAATGTGTGTGTGTGTGTGTGTGTGTGTGTGTGTGTGTGTGTGTGTGTGTGTGTGTGTGTGTGTGTGTGTGTGTGTGTGTGTGTGTGTGTGTGTGTGTGTGTGTGTTCTCGTTCTTTCTAGCTAACTTCCACTGTACGCCGTCGGTGCTGATGGTGGATGAGCTGCTGTGTGCGTACCCCCACCAGCTGTCTTTCTCTGAGGCCGGCATGAGGATCATGATCACCAGTCACTTCTCCCCCAGGACCCGCCTCACCATGGCCTCTCGCATGCTCATCAACGAGGTACATTCGTTATCCAAATTATTATCCACATTATCCAAAACGGGAGCAATTTTAAGTTTAGTTTCTCCACCGCAGGAGGTGGGATCATAAAGCTGACCCTCTGATTGGTTTATGCTTAATGAACCCCTGCGCTGCATTCGCCCTAATTATTTAATCCTCTATATGCATCAATACCATTACAAGTACTCTCCAAGGTTTGGTGCATTAGAGGATCATGGGTCTGGTGTCGGGTCAGGTTGCCAAACTGATTTGTCAAATGTCAGGGGGCGGGTCAGGTACTGTATTTTGCATTGCTGTGTCGACTTCAAGTGCAGATCTTGATGATTTGACATATAGACAACTCTGGTTTGAGGCTCTGTTGGGATTCAACACAGGATCCTATTTTACGAGATAGGTGTATAGCACTACATATACACCACACGTGCACATGCACTGTGATACTGTGTCCACCAGCGTTTCCGTTGTTGTGCTGGTCAACGTGACCGGTAAGATTTCAATTGACTGGACAGTAGGGAAATATTCTGTTCAGAAGTTATCGCTGTTTATTTTTGAGCTTGAAAACCATTGATAAAAAGGCTTTATAAGTAATGACATCATCAATGCATGTTGGTTTAAACTTTTTGGAAATTACTATTGAAAAAGGTTAGCCTGCATAGCGTCACCTATATATATTAGTCAATGTATTGCTTGTACAGTGGATATATACAGTCTATGGTCACCACTGCTAAGCAGTAGGTGCGTGTGCATCGCAAAATGGTTTCCTCTGAAAAACAAGGTCCAGAAGCATCATTCTGGTGCGCCCGGCGGCACAATGAGCGCTGTCCTCACAGTGATGGCATCTCGGTGCACTCTTTTGGCATCGGTGCGAGCGGCTAGTTTTTAAATACACTTTAATTTAATTTGTGTCAGACCGGACCATACGACCCAAGGGATTTAAATTTGCCAGACTTCTACAGATTTTTTCCAGTCAAAGTCCGGTAAATACCGGCTAAACGAAACACTGGTGTACACTGGGTTGGACTCTATATTGAGTTGTGTAGTTAAACATGGTACAAACTATTAAAAATACATTAAAAAGTTGAGAAGCGGCAAAGCTACCCTCAAGCAAAAAGTCAGTTACAGTACTTTGAGAGATCCCTGCCAAACCAGCATCTTAGCATAACTGAATAACCCTGGGTGGCCTCAACAGAAAGTGGAATAAATGATACTTTAAACATTTTCTCTCAGGCACCTGTCTGCTGCTGAATACAGCCTGCAGTGAGTCCAAGCCAAACAAACCCATTTTGGCTGAAAGAAGAGAAACAACATTAACTTCTGCTTCAGACAAATATGGGAGGCTTTTGTTTATATGGTCTAAATAAATGAAGACAACATGTATCTGACGCACTGCTATTCGTGCTATTAAACGTGTTAATGAACGTTATCTTAATGTTTTCTATACTCATGTTCTATAATCCCTTCCAGAGACAAAGACTGATCAACACCAGTGAGACTCGGGTCAACCGCATCACCAACGGCGACTCCGACTCCGCCGCCAAGGCTCAGGGGAGGCGGGGCTTAGAGAACGGGATGGGCGGAGCTGAGCAGGGTCTGAACGGCAGGTGTAGACTCCAGCGACTGGAGAACGAGACAGAGAACGAGAACGAGGATAACGAGAACAACGAGAACGACGAGGAGGGAGAGGGGGAAGATGGAGACTCCGGCCCCTCGGTGCCTTTCAAAATTCCAGGTACTGATGACTTTCTGATGTTTGTTTTTAGTGCTAACACGGAACACATCATGATTTGACTGTCCCATCACCGTCTTCCCTCCCTCCAGCCGGGGCGGGGAACAAGCTGAAGTGGATCACCATGTGGCCGCTGTCTCTTCTTCTGTTCTTCACCGTGCCCAACTGTGCCAAGCGGCGCTGGGAGAGGTGGTTCATGGTCTCCTTCTTCACCGCCACCATCTGGATCGCTGGCCTCTCCTACATCATGGTCTGGATGGTCAGTGAAAAGACATGCTGATCTTTAACCATTGAAATAATTGCCTGCATAAAACTTGAAGGTTCTATCCTTAAAGGATTTTAGTTTTCGGGACTGTACAAAAAAGGTTTAACTCTTTGAATTTTGAATGAAAATATGTAATAGTTTAATCATAAAGCCGTATTTGGTCATATGCAGAGGACAATAAAAGGGTTCTTTTTTGAAAATCTTAAATTGCAGACAGCATCTGCACTTTCACTTGCATTATAACAGGAAGTCACGTTAGCCTGTGACATAATGAAAGTTTAGCTTATAACACACTCGCAAGTGATTCCCCCGATTGGTTTGAAGGGATATTACTAAGTTTGGAAAACAACTCCAGAGGCGTCGGTTATGACAATTGCTCAATTTTAGAATTAAATAAATAAAGGATCTATGAATTTTAAGTTAAATGTTCAAATGTGCACTCTGTACTTCTGTAAATAGCATTTATATTTAAATATATACCTTGGTGGGTGAGAATTATTAAGATTTGAATTAATGAAGTTGAATTCCTACCTCACAAATCCACACAGGATCAGCATCACTGACGTCTTTTTTTAATTATCAAGCTACAGTTGTTCAGTGTAGTAAGGCTTCATACTAACTGTTACACCTATTTCAGTCAATCCCAGATGTTCCTGTTGTAGCCTTCACACTTTTGAACTATGTATTCATATCTCTTCAGGTGACTGTGATAGGCTTCACTTTGGGCATCCCAGATGTGATCATGGGCATCACGTTCCTAGCAGCAGGCACCAGCGTCCCAGACTGCATGGCGAGTCTTATAGTCGCACGGCAAGGTAAACACACACAGGAAGTAAATATTTGTGTTGAGTGAGATGCTGTTTGGAGGAGGAGTGGCGTCACTCAGCAGCTTGCATCATGACTCGTCTCCCGACTGTACAGACCTGACAGTGTTGCTCTCCTTGCCTCAGGTCTGGGGGACATGGCCATCTCCAACTCCATCGGCAGTAATGTGTTTGACATCCTGGTGGGCCTGGGTCTGCCCTGGGCGGTGCAGACGCTCTGCATCGACTACGGCTCCACCGTGAGTGCTCTCCAGAGGGAGTTCTGCTGGACTCCAACCAGAATAGAACAGCTGTGTTCATGAAGGAAGTCTGTCATATTCAGTGCAGAGCAGCTAGGGAGTCGTACACAAAGACACCCACGCACTGCAGTTTATCACCTAACACTCAGAAGATAGCATGTGCTAATTGCTCCGTTGATTACTCTTCACAGGAGGAGAAAAATAGATTCTAATAGGTGTAATAAAAGTCATAAATACAGGATGTTTTGTGTGTGTGTCAGGTCAGAGGCAGCTTTTGCTTTTGACTTGTAAAAAGCTGTAACCTCTGTTTGTCTCCTCAGATCCATCTCAACAGCAGAGGACTCATTTTCTCTGTCGGGCTCCTGCTGGCCTCAGTATTCGTCACAGTAAGTTCCACATTTTGCATGTCACTGAATTGGGCTGTGATTCTGGGGGCGTCTGACGTCAGGACAGTGTTCAAATCTGGATCAGTTTTTATCAGATCCGTTGCAGCCCCTTTTTTAGAGATTTGGGTATGGAGGAAAATAGAGAGGGTTGTGTTTTCTGACACTTGGTGAGTTCCCTGGAACACCGGGGACACATATTCATGTATAAAAGACGTACAAAAGTGCATTTTGCATGATAGGTCCCCTTTAACTTAAGTCATGTGACCATGCTTTATAGCCTATTGATTTATGCTTCAACTATTATACAGTAATTTAAAGTTATTATTATAAGTGTTCTAAATATATACTAGCTTGTGATTGACAGATTTGTCAGAGTTGTTTATTTGAACCATTGCATAATTTATTTATACATTCTCTAAGTTCATTGTAACATCTTAGAGGCATCGAGACACGTAGCATAAATACAAGAAGCCGGCAGCCAAATGGTCAAACTCAAGGCTTCAAAACCACACTCCACAAAACCAATGGTTAATGTCACGATGACTGCATGAAGATTCTTAGGCCCAATTCCAAACCACACCCTACCCACTCACCCTCCGTGATGGAGTGAACTCCGTCTGTAGTCACACTCTCAGCTGAAAGAGGCTCCTCCTTCTTTCAGATGGAGGGTGTAAATACAGCGGCAAGCATTGGGACGAACTCCCCTCTCTCCGGCAGAAACAGGAAATGCCATAATACGTAACAACGGTCTCAAATCAGCATCTCTTAGATTAAGAATAACTAAAATAAAACTAAAAATCTTTTATGGCATATCTTTTTTGTAAACATATTTTAGTTTTAAAATCTGATGTTTATAAGCTGCTTAGTTTTAGCAAAAGTCAGTGTAAATATACACAACTTTTACCCTTTTCTAGACTAGACATGAGTAAATGATCCTAAGTTTAAACAAATACGAGGTAACCATGAAGTTATTAACATCTGTATGAAGATATTAAATAGCTCTTGTTGTGCAGTTTATCAATGAATGTTTCCACGGAACTGTTATTAAACAGCGTGTTTCCTGACGGACACACCCCGCGCTGAGTCCGGTCAGGTGGAGCAGCAGGTGAAGTCAGCACCGATGCAGACTCGCTGTTTGAGGGCTTCATAACCCACTCCCCCTCCACACTCGTTGGTTTGGAACAGCACTTGATGTGGCGGACCCTCCGCGCGAACGGAGGGGTAGTGTGTAGGGGTAGGGTGTAGGGGGCGGTTTGGAATTGGGCCATATACAGTATACACTCTCTATGGTCCCTACACCCTTGAATCATATCATTCAAACAAGAATAGCTTACAAACAGTGTTTATAATCTCGAAGTGTTTAGAATAGTTGTGTGCTGTAGTCATCATTTCCTCCCTCTTACTGATTTCTCCCTATTTACAGGTTCTCGGTGTCCATTTGAACAAATGGACTCTGGACTGGCGACTAGGCTTGGCCTGCATCATCTTGTACGCCATCTTTCTCTGCATCTCCATCCTCATCGAGTTCAACGTCTTCATCTTCGTCAACCTGCCCATGTGTCGAGACATCCACTGACCCCCTTCTCTCTCTTCTGTCTTCTTGTTCCTCATGTCCATGGAGGAAACCTCACATGGCTTCCAGATTCTCTGCACCCTGAAACCTTTTACTTTTAGACGAGCTCTATATGATTTATCTTTGGTGCAATACACACAAGACAGAAGACAGAGGACTTTTTTTGGACTCGACGGAGGCGTGAAGAGAGAGTCCCAGCACCGGGAGGTTGGCTGGAGTGTGTGAACACCGACAGGACTGATGCTGCAGGAGCTGCTACTGTAACTGACGGAGGAAAGAGGGGAATCCTGCGGAGCCATTTCTAGCTGGATTGTTTGTTACTCTTTGTACAAGTTTGGAATAAAAGCACACAATTAAGGTATTTTTAAGTCAAAAACAGGCTCTATATATATTTGAAGATGATATAATAGTAGCTGATATATGGGATTATTTTATGCACAACTGGATCAGTCTTGCCAAGCTGTACGATCCAGTGACTATTTTGTGATTTCAGAAATACTCTCCAAATGCTTTGCCATGTCTGGATGCTCAGTACCTGCGGACACAGCATGCTGTACGAGCCCCAAGTCAACTTTAGCTTTGCACTGACGGAATCCACATATTTAACACTTTCCACATATTCTACAGGCTTATCCACGACACATAGGCTTTATTTTCCTTTGGTGAAACCCACATAGGGAAGGGATCTGCCTCTCACTGGCATCCAGCACTGTCACTTTATTGATTATTCTCTCATTGCAAAGCGTCTACAGGTACTCTAAACATATAACTACTGACTTTAGAGCTCCCTCTATTGTACATATTTAAGAATTAGATTTTGAATTGAGTTTAACAATGTTACTTCTTAAAGCCAAAAGTATTTTTAGAATAGTAGGAGTACTTAAGTGTGTGTGTGTGTGTGTGTGTGTGTGTGTGTGTGTGTGTGTGTGTGTGTGTGTGTGTGTGTGTGTGTGTGTGTGTGTGTGTGTGTGTGTGTGTGAGAGTCTCGAGAGGACCCAAGGACATCACTGTTGCTGGGAAGACATAATCATGATTTATTTATGAATTAATTTATTCAAAGATCGTGTCTTACCGCCAGTTCCCGCCCTTTGGATCGTGTACAGTGTATTTTAACGGGACTCTTTGAATACTGTACAGTGTACTGTATACCTAATATATAATCTGAGTACTGGAAACTGATTTGATGTTGTTTATATTTAAGAATAGATAATTTATAAGTTTTGTATAGTTTGAAAAGATATTGCAACATTTGTATATTGGCACAAACCCGGTGGTTTTTTCGACGATGATGCACGAGAGTCTTTAACGTGGAATAAATGATGAGTGATGGTTGTGGGAGATTGACTTTCCGATAAGGAAGTCCGTTCTTTGAACTTTCACAACATAACGTTTCTTAAAACACAGTGCTTTAACTCTTGTTCCATCACTTGTATTTTGGAGGCTTCAAAGCTAACTTGTTGCTATTCTCCTGCTTGTCTTTGAGACAAAAAAACACCTTTGTCAGCAGTATTGCCTCTCTGTTTCAGCATGTGTTCAAAATTACAAATGTGTAAGATATTTTTATTTGATCTTAGTTTTTAGCTGAAGAATTGTAATGCTCATAGGGTTAATTAAAAGTGTCCTTCTGCGGCCACAAGAGAGCGCCGTAGAGCCGTGTTTAATATTCACAGATTATTATACGGGAAGTGGCTTTGGTATATTTTCAGGTAGAGATAAATACTGGTGGGTTTGCATGCCTCTTCCATGATTCCGATTATTTTGTGTGTAATTGAAATGCATTTCAAGATGAAAAAAGTATTGTACATATCAGAGGGATATGCTATTAGAAACACAGATGTTGAAATAACTTCTGATGAGCAGTTATATTCCACATATATACTGTATTTAGAATGTAGGCCTGCAACAGTTCGGCTAATTAATGTCGTGTTATGCTCATGTCTTCAACGGTGTGTAAATCCTATTTGTTGTTGATGAGGACCTCTGGGCAGAGTTCAGAGAGAGGAAGATGTTCCCAGTGGTCTTCTTGCAATAAACTGATTTACACACACTGATGACTTCTGATTACCTTCCTGTTTCACAGCAACCTATCAGAACAATAAAGTGAGACACATACTGTTCACAGCATACTTGTCTTCACTTTTTTCGAGGGTCTAATAAAAAACACAATTTTTTTTACAGTAAATGCACAAATCATAATTTTAAGCTGAACTTGTCTCTAAAGTCAATTTTTAATACCGTATGTGTTCTTTTTTTAAATTATTATTATTGATGCATTAATGGTAATGTTATGCTAATTTAAACCACTACCCACTGCTGGGTGTTTGGTGAAATCTCCCTTAATGATGAACTCAATTATTATTATCACTAACTCAGCATTTTCATTTTTTTATTGTAACATTGTTTAGCTATTTATGTTGGTTTCCTGCCATATTTGTGTTTTGGTTCACTGACACTGCTCACTTCTTTCTGCTCTGATAAACCCTCTGGAAACTCTCCAGAACCAAGAGAGACTTCTAAAGAGCGAGATCATTTTCTTAAGTTTGAAGAACAGCTGCCAAGAATAAAAATTAATTACTTGATAATAAATCTTAGGTCATATTAAACATACATGTAGGCATTCATAATAATTGATTACATTTGATGTAAATGAATATTTGCTTTTTGTAAATAGATGTTTTGTTTTTTTACTGTATTTACTTCTGTATTACTTTCCCTCTGCCTGTTTCCCCTATTTACTGTATATCAGAAAACGTATTTATTGATGTATTATTTTACTTAGACGCGAAAAAACATCAGGGGTAAATAGGTACACATGAATACAAAAAAAGTAAAATAAAAAATCAACATTTCATGGTAAAATGCAAAGTCAAGGTGAGAATCGTCATCACCTCCTCAGCCAATCAGGAGGAGGCGTCAGATTACCGCGACTCTGCTCTCTCTCGCTCGCTCGCTCGTCTTTCTCCCCCAAGCGCTGAGACCCATCCCGGTGTCGGTGTGTCTGGCGGTGAACCATAACAGGGCGGCCGGGACAGTGGTGTTTCTCGGTGTCAGCTGAAAACAGACCGTTAACAGAGCAGCGGACATGCCTCCTCTCCTCCATGGAGCCGAACCGGACCGCAGTCCGCTGTAGTTCTGCCGCAGTGAACCACTTCGAGGTGAGTCAAGATGTCTTTGTGCAGCACGAGACCCTGGACCATGACTCCCGCTTCTAACAACATGAAGTGTTTTCACGTACTGACCATAACTTTGATACAACTCTGCCTCTTGTGACATTGTGTTGCACTGAGTTTAAGACCTGTTGTTCATTAAGTGGTCTAAAACTGATGTATTATCCAAAGTGGAAAGCACTTTAAAAGTTGGAAGCAGCTTAATTCCTCTGCATTTAATGGATCAAATATTGTTTTGAACAGTGGTGTAATGTAAGTACATTGACTCAAGTACTGTACTTAAGTAAACAAATGAGGTACTGTACTTGAGGTTTTTTATATTTTGCTACTTTATACTTCACACCATTTTTTAGGCAGATGCTGCACTTTTTACTCCACTTAATTTATTTTACATATTTAGTTACTAGTTTACTTTGCAGATTGAGGTTTTTAATACAAAATATAAAGTTAAAGTGGACCTATCATGCTATATTTAAATGATATATTGTAGGGCCATACATATATAAGGTATATTTATACGTTTCTGTTTTCAAAATACCAAACAGATCATGCATTTTAGCCATGCCTCATTTCGCTCTATGTGCTGTTTGCTATCTACGGGTCTGATTCTGCTGACCACGCCCCCCTGCAGGAGAGGTGAGCCGTGCTCTGATCAGCTGCTGTGCTGTCAGAAGAGGGGGAGAAAAAGAGATCTCCGTCCTCCGTGTTTTATTATATAGAGTCGTTATTCATTTGTTTTAAAGCTCAATAAATAACAAAGAAGACCTTTGACCGGCACTTTTCTAATTTTGTCCGGAAGATTTAAACTTTAACGGACATCTTGACCGGCGAAACAAACTGAAACTGAAACTCTGCCGCACGGTCCTCTCGTTCCTTGGAAGAGGCGGAGAGGTGGGTGTTTGTCATCTGCTGGTGGACTAACCGGAGAGAATTACATTGCTTGCCTCGACGGGGAGGGATTGCATTGAATTAAAGCAGCGGGAGCAAACGCTTGCCTCGGGGAGGGAGAAAAAAAGCCACAGCGGAGAATAAACAGAAGGGTAACCATGGTAACTATGGGCGGGAAGTCTTCTTCGCTGCTTTTGTGGCAGACTACAGCGCCACTTACAGGCCTGGCATATGTACTACAGCGTCTCCAGCGCTTTCGAGCGGCAATGGCCGGCTGTGGCCCAACCCCACATTCCCCTGATAGGTGGAGAGTTGGCCCAATAGCCGTAGCGCCACTTCTGTGACGTCAGTGAAGTGTTCAAATCTGGATCAGTTTTTATCAGATCCGTTGCAGCCCCGTTTTTAGAGATTTGGGTATGGAGGAAAATAGAGAGGGTTGTGTTTTCTGACACTTGGTGAGTTCCCTGGAACACCGGGGACACATATTCATGTATAAAAGACGTACAAAAGTGATAGGTCCCCTTTAATTCAAGTACTTGGCCATTGTGTGTGCAACATTGAAGTGATGCCAACCCCGCTGTAGGCCATCTACTCATTATCTGTAATAAGCCCGACTACTGTGGTGTCATCTGCAAATGTAATTATGATGTTGGAGGTGTTGATGGGGGTGCAGGCATGGGTGAAAAGTAGGGATGTCCTGATCACCTTTTTTTGCTCCCGATCCGATTCCGATCATTTGATTTTGACAATCTGCCGATACCGATTTTTCCCGATCCGATCTTTATGCAATGCATTAAGAGAAAAAAAAGGTAACAGATAACGGCTGGTCATCCAACGCGATGAATTCAGCTATCTTGGCTGTTATTTTGTTGGCCTTTTCACTGTTCTGGGGCAGTTTCTCTTTCCTTTTTAAAAGTCTCTGAAAGTGTCGGTTGTTTCAGTGCCGTTACCTGAGTGGCCGCTGTGTACTCGTCGTGTTGTTGTTGGTGGTGTTTGTATTAGATTGGTCGTGTTGAACGTAGCTCTGTTCTTTCCACCACGCGGAACCTCCGCCTTGCAAACATTGCATCTGGCTGTTACACTGCCTTCGCTTTCAATTTTATAATACTTCCAAACTCCTGACATTTTCTCTGTCCCGACTCCCGAGTCACCAGCTGAACGTAGCCTCTTGTTAGCTTACTGCTACTATTAGACACTGCGCCCACTCTGTTGCCAGAATTGAGAGAAATAAGCAACCAGGTCTATGAAAACAAGCCCAAAAGAAGCAACACATACATGATGTTGTGTAATTTTAAACCAAAACTAAGGCCTCGGGATGACTTTAAGACGTGAACATGGTCATTTTTGTTTTGGACATCTCTAGTGAAAAGTGTGAAGAGCATAGGGCTAAGCACACAGCCTTGTGGTGTTCCTGTGTTTAGGATGAGGGTGGATGATGTGTGCTTACCGATTCTGACTTGTTGTGGTCGATCTGAAAGAAAGTCCATGACCCATGAGCACAGCGAAGAACCAAGGCCAAGGTTGTCCAGTTTGCTGACCAGTTTTGGGGGATAACAGTGTTGAATGCGGAGCTGAAATCCACAAACAGCATCCTCACATAACTGTTTGGTTCTTCCAGGTGTGTCAGAGCGCCGTGGAGAGCTGACGTGTATGAAACATGGTGCATTCCAACTTCAACCTTAATATGTTAATAAAGTATTAATTTCCAACAATGTACATAGATAGCCAATGCTATAATATTGAAAATGTTTGTAGCTGAAGCTTCATAACAAACGTCACTTAGTCAATACATTTGCAGACCCTTGGATTTAAAATTGTTATAAAATACATTATGCTAAAATATAAATTTGAACTAAAAATAAACATCTTCCCATGCTCGCCTAAAAGTCAGACTGCCCTTTCTAGAACAAAAAGTACACAGAGCTCCCTCAATTCTGCCCTCTCATCATTTTCAAACAGTCCCTTACTTGTTTTTTCCATGTATTATAATTCAGTGTTTAGAGTAATGAGAATAGATGAACATGTTGCAACAACCTCCTCTCCTGAGGTGATGATTTTACATCAGAAATATGTGAGACCCGTCTGAACCTGACTGAAAACAACATGTTACAGACTCTCCTGCAGCTCAGATATAGTTTAGGCCTCTCTTATTTTTCTAAACAAGCAGTAGTCTGATGTTTATCGATGTAAGGAAGGAGCCAATTTCCTAATTTAAACTGCTTTGGAATCTGTTCGAGAGATTAGCTTCACTGCAGAAACCAGGCTTTTTGGCACGAAGAGCCCTCGTTATGTGCTTCTATATGAAAATGCATCAGCAGTGAGGTATTTAAATAAAAAAAGACTTGCCATAACATGATTAGTTTTGGGAGTTTTTCGAGTTTTTTGTCCGCTGTGACCTTCAAAAGACAGCTAATGCTGCCTTTGCTTTCTTTTGGGTGTTTTATATTTACATTCCTAAAGACATGTTTCAGACTTTTCTGCTTTAAATATCCGATTTGTAAAGTAAACTTTCGCCAAACCACTTCTCTCTGTACGTTCGAGGCAGAACCCCGAACTCCACAGGTTTATGAAAAGTGATGTCATCATGGCTGGATGAGGAAGCAGCCTCTCAGGTTACCGCGGTGATTCAACTCTCCCTGTGGGGGATGTTAACACTGAGCGCTTTCACAGGAGCCACACTGATGTCTGCTGTAACTCTGCAGCATCACGTCTAACACTGGAGCTCTGCTGTTTCTTTTTCTGCCAACTAAACTGACTTTCAGCTTTATGCATCAATAAAGACCATGTCAGAGAGCTTTGTTGAAAACCTTATTTTGTAGGTTTACCCGAAAGTAAGCATCGCAAGGGCACCCTCGACAAAAAGTCAAGGGGATTATTCCGTTGAATTTCGTAATATTTCAGAAAATAAGATTTGTGGCAAACCCACCCTCATATGCCCCTTTCACACCAACGCGGTTCCAGGGCCGGTTCGGAGCTAGAGCCTGATAAGCACCGGTTGTTCCTGTTCACACCGCAGTGGAGCCGGCTCTAGGCACCAAAAACCGGTGCTTACCAAGCACCAACTTTTTTTCGGTCTTGAAGCAAGAACCGCATACGTCACGCTTACGTCGGAGGCGGGGGCAGGGGCGAGATTAACCTGAGCTAACAGTTTATGGCGAGTATGGCAAATAAAAGTTGTAACAAGCGTAGCGCTGAGCGAAGTGACTAGAACGCAACCACACACTTATAAAAAAAACACACTTTATAAAGTCAGGCAACACTAACCAGGCTTCGTGTGATTCTGTTTATTTGTAACATTCGTTCGCTGTCATTGATCATTGTGGAGAGCAGGCAGACGTTTTGTTTTGTATTATAGCAGCTATCGGATGGAATCAATACATGGGCTGTACAGGTTGTCATGTCCGACTATCACAAGTAGAATCATAACGGGAGAATAAACTCCCGTGGACGAGCAGCACTGCAGCGGTCGGTAAATGCCGCTGAAACACATTAATAAACAATGAACCACGGCACTCTGGAGAAAAGTATAAGGTTGGAGAAGTCGTTATTTAATTTAATCTGGCTTCGTATGATTAAAAGCAACACGATCATCGACCCGACGCAGTCCCCCATTGTTGTTGTTGTGAGCGCTGTTGGGGAGAAAATCAGCGACGTAAACGGTGACGTCATGACGCAGCAGCGGCAGCACCAGTCGGGCTCTGGGCGGTGTGAACAAAACGGGGGCTGAAAATAAAAACCGGTTCCGAACCAGAAGAGCGCAAGCATAGAGCTAGAACGGGAACCGCGTTGGTGTGAAAGGGGCAATAGTCTAGTTGTCAGCTCCAGAGTTCCCGTTAGAATATTTTTTTGCCGGTCAAAATGTCCGTTAAAGTTTAAATCTTCTGGACAAAATTAGAAAAGTGCCGGTCAAAGGTCTTCTTTGTTATTTATTGAGCTTTAAAACAAATTGATATGAATCGATATTAAACAAACTAATTATAGTAGATTAACTACATTATTCAAAGTGTACAGTAACTTGTAATAACACGGGAATAATAAACGGAGCGCTCTCTCCTTCTCCTGACAGCCCGCCAGTATCATGCAGCTGACTGTGATGTGGT